ATGCTTAATTATATGAATCAGTTTCTAGTTGTAAATATTTTTAATTTATGCATCTTATGAAATTAACTGTATTATGAATTACCTGCTGAGCTTTAGCTCATTCCTCGTTTTGGAAATATTTTTTTCAGGAGAGAAGTAATGGCTGCACAACGACCTTACACTTATCGTCGTAGGGGACCTCAGGAGGATGAAAGGTTCCTTGTTATGTTATTAGTTTGAGTCTGAGTTTATTTTTCCATGCAGTTTGTGGGTTTGAGTTGAAAGTTTGGAGTTTATGTAATGAATGTTTAAAGTTTAGTAGTTATGTGAGACAGTTAATGGTTTGGAACTTTTATTTCATTTCGGGTGTATTTTAGTGGCTCTTTCAATTAATATTTGGATGATGTTTAAAGCATTAATATAAATAGTTTATGTTTATTTATGTTTTTCCGTACGACATTTTGCTCCCGTCCCGTTAAGTCGGGCTAGCCGGGTCAGGTCATGACAGGAAGTTTGCTACACTCATCTCCACGAATGAGTAAGTTTGATGAGATTGTTATTGATCTTACGATTCAAGCATTTCTTAGGGGAACTTTGTCATTTTTTAATGACATTCAAGGCATGCCAACTTTTATAAGTCGTCCTCCTACAAACTAGTCACCATTTAGATTTTTCCTTGCAAAAATGGGAGATTTTTCTAAGAAATATGTATTTTCAATATTTTTTTTATTTTATTTCCTCTTGGGTAAGTTATTTTCTTGTTGGGAAGTAATGAAAGAATGTGTGTGTGAGCTTGCACAAATGTGTATGTGTGCCTAAGTGTGCCTTAACATAATTTTGAAAAGATATTGGCTTAATAAGGTGTACACACAATAACACAATTTATAAGAGGCACAAGCCTAAAAAATGAGGATTTAAGTACTTTAAAAATTTTAATTTTTAAATAAAAAATATAAAATAAATCATATGTTTATTATTTCTCTATGCCAAAATTTTAAAAAAATAAGCCGAGAACAAGAACAACACACACTGCCTCAACTTCTAACTACTACACCTGATGTTTCTCACACTCCCACCACTCCTCACTGCCGCCGTTGCACCCTAACACAACTAAGTATGAGAAAGGAGAGGAAACAATTCACTAGAACGATGATTCTAATGAAAACTAAATGATGAGAGTGAGGTAGATCTTTGAATTTATAAATTATAATATTAAAGACATAAACTGTGTTTTTATATTGACTTGGGAGTGGGAGAGACTTATTATTATAATATTTCTTTGATGTTAGTATGTTAGTATTTATAATTTTTTTATTCATTTAATTATTCAATTGTATGTGAAATGAGTATATACGTGAAAATGTTAGAGTAGCTCTAATAGCATATAAGATTAGAGGGTCGTCTTAAATGAGTTGATCACATAAAACGTCGACCTTTTGATGACCCAGTTACGAGAGTTGATGTATTAGATTTGTCCTATGGTAAGAAAAGTAGAGGTAGACCTAAAAGACTTGGTTAAAAAGTATTAGAAATGATTTTTTTTTTTAATTAAATTTAAATGAGAAGTTGACTCTTAACAGGACACAATGGAGAAAAAATGATACATGTAACCAACCCATGTAGTGGGATAAAGGATTGGTGTTGTTCTTATTGCTATATTTAATTCTTTAATTATGAGGCTTACATCTTAAAATGCCTTGAGGACGCCTCTGTCATGAACAAAAAATCCTCAATACTCAACTGTGCAATTTCAAATCTTGGTATGAATTATGATTAATGATTTGATCTTTGACGAGTTGCTTATAGTTCATGAGCATCTCAATTTATCATTTTAAATCTTTTGCAATTGATTACCAAATCTCATAAAATTGATTTGCTAAATCCCGCATAATCATTATACTATGCACAATTGATTGTTGTAGTTTGATTTGGTGTTTTTGGATGCAACTTATTCACAATTCAACTTTCGTGGTTTCTCTCGAAAAAATAACATTCATGTTTTCATTCGATCTTTGTGTTCAAAAACTTTGTTAAGTGAAATTGTATATTTGGATATTTTCTTTCTTGGTACCAAGGTAGAATATGAAGCCGTAGAGTCAAGTGTTTGAGATTAGAGGCAACTTTATGATGCAAGTTGTTGAAGTTGGTGAATTCACCAACTCGTTAAAGGGGGATGAGTTGTGTTCAAATACCTGTTCCATCTCAGCCTGTGACTTCCATTATTCCCAAAAGTGGCCAAAATCTTGGGTTTCTATTTCTTAGTTCTAACACATACGTTGTCGAATTCATTTGTAAGCATGATTTCTTTCATTATTGTTCGACAAGAATAAAATGCAAGATGAAGCTTAGATTTGTTTAAATGTATGTCTACAATAAAATCTTTCAAAGAAGACATTATTCTCTTTTCTTTGAAGGACATGATTGGTTTGGAGAACAAAGCGAAAGATTGGAAAAATTAATATTTCTTTGTAAAGTCTGTGGCTGATTAGAACTAAGATTGGTATTATTCCCAGAAGCAAGTTATCATAGCCAAACTTATCTGACGAGGATGGACCTCTCATTATGAAATATGAACATCAGAGAAAGACTGTCTTGATTGTGTTTTAACTTTAGATAAGTTTGTTTGGATAGCTTTTCTTCCGGGCCAATCTTCTTAGAGTAAGCTGTCGAGTATGTTTTGACTTTTGTTTTAAATGAAAGTTTTCTCATTTGAATATTTTTTATTATTTAAACTCAAGTCCTACGCTTATTCTTGTATCAAAAGCAAAAGTAGGTTTTGGTTCCTCTATCACCAAAGGGAACCTGCCACATTACAAAGTCTTAAAAAGATAAACACAGAGTAATGTTTTTGACGAACATCAACAGAATTCAATACACAAGTAGCAGAAATGGCAGACTGGTGCTTAATGCTTCTCTAAACTAGCATGCCAGTCCAAAGGAAAGACCATTCATCTCCTTGGTTAACCATTATCTTTCTCATCCAGGGAGCTACTGTCACTTTGGTTAATGACATTGTGATCTAACAATGAGCCTGGTTCCTTATGAACTGGAAGAAAAATTGACTATGCATTCCATTATGCTTAAGAAATGATGGATACAAGAGGATTATTGCAGTGGAGTTAACTATCTGAAGTTTGATTTCTTTTTGGAATTATGTGGAAACCTTGTTTTCGACCAACAAAAAATCGTGTTACCTATTGAATAACCCAAGGATGTTACTTTAATTTGTTTTGATTTGTTATATTATCTTATAGAAAGGTGATAACTATTTTATAGAACAGGGATCACATAGTTTTTTTTAGCTTGAAATCATACTGAACTTTGCTTTTATTCATTAGATTTTATTTTTCTCAATCATTGTGATGGGAATTGCAGAGAAATAAAGGCAATAAAGTCTTTAGTAATATTATTTTTCCTTTCAATCAACTTGTCATGTGCGCACTCTTAGGACCATAAATAACAAAAGCAAGCAGTTTGTTTTAGGAGGCATGGTCACTCATTGTATTAAGTCCACTAGCTGCTAGAATGTTAATCAATGGCAAAATTGGGAACTTTTGCCTAATTCTTCTAATGCATAGTGAATTAGGTCGCCATTTTGATTGAAACAGCTGAACTTAGGAAGCTTTCCTTGCAAGATATCTGACAATGGTAGAAGTTAATGATGAAATCCTTGTACGAGGAATCAAATGCTATTTCACTCATTTTTGAAAGAAAGAAGCATTTCTATTTTGTTCCATGGTCTTGTTTGATTTCATTTGTATTGGCTATATCATCAAAAGACAATTTTGATGCCATCTATGAATTATCAATAAGATGGCAAATTTTGTCATTGATCCATTTTGTTCACTATTTTGATGGATGGAATCAAACAAACAGGAATCAGAACTGGTTGTTTCCTTCACTTTATTTGTAGTTTTTAAGTTTTAACTTACCATTATTTTATTTCATGCATACTTTTAATATATTTGAAATTTTAATGTGTTGCTTTTGTGTTCTTTCTTACAGAAGTTGGTGGTAGAAACAGTAACAGTAATAGCCCTTTTGAGAGTGGAGATGATTTTGAGCGCCGTTTATTTGGTGACGTTGGCAACAGTGCAGATACTGGTTCTTTTTTTCGGAAGCTAGACAAAGTTGAGCAGGCTCATGGGAGATCTTTCAATAGCTTGGGAGACAATGATGGTCGTAATTCACGATTTATGGATGGTCAAGGTGAAGGTTTTGATACACTCTCAGATGGTATGGATTCAAAATTGAAGAAAGCAGCTAATACTTTTGCTTTTACTGATGAGATTAAGGATGATGATTATAAGTTTAGACCGGATGTGACATTTAGGCCTGGAACAACCTACACTCTTAGGGTATGAGTAATTTTATTATTAGTAAACATGAATAATTTATTTTCTGTTCTTCTCATTTCATAGATTGCTGTTTACACTCTCTCTTTAGTCTCTTTTAAATAGTTTTCTATTAAGTTTGGTGGCTGCTAGGTGTGAAATAACTTTTTTTTTTTTAATGTAATGTCTAATCACGGTCATCATTACCTCATAACTATTTGGTCTTACTTTATGAATCCTCATTTTTTGGTTGTTCCTACGGAGTATTGCATGAAATGTTAAGCATTTTCTTTACAAATTATTCAAACAGCTTCTATCCATGCTACTTCAATTCTACATTTTTCTTTCCTAATTATTTGGCACTAATTATTTTATTCTAACCATCCCTCTAGTATAATCATTTCTAATTTATTCTTCATAATTTTGCCACAATCAATTTAGCTTTCAATGCTTTTTTTACCACCCTGCACTCAAGATCCATACAATACAATTGGTTTAATTGTAGTTTAATAAAATTTACCTTGTTTATGATATCTTGCGGCACTACTTTTTTTAGCGGTTTAGTCTTAACTCTATAAGCTATATTCTCATTTATATCCCATTATTCTATATAATAGATCCAATCACTAGTCGCTTAAATGTAGTTCATTCTTTTGACAAGCTGTTTTCTGTCGTGCTAAGCCAAAATCTGTTTTACTAACCTGATAATTTGTATAAACTTTGGCCATATTAAGCAGTGTTGGTAAAATAATAACAAGAATAATAACACCAATGAATTAATCATTAGCGTAGAACTTTTTAAGAAATCTTTAAAGGGAGAAAGAGAATTTACCATTTCTCAAAATTTTGTAAATGACAACTTTTCTTTCTTAAAGTGAACATATGTAATCAATAAAAAGAAAAAGAGAAGGAGAAGTTTTTTTTTTTCATTTTTAGATAAAATTTTCGATAAATTTTCAACAATTTTCTTAAATTAAGTTGCTTTCAATCAAAATTTGTTAATTATAAGTTTTATATCATCACCTGACATGACCCCACGAACGCACGTCTCACTATCTCCACTCATTTTGTTTCCTCATAACTCCTCATAACTCTCTCATGGCCCAGCCTCTTGATTCCTCTAAGAGGCGAAACTCCAGCTTTCGCCCTACTACGCACGCAAACCCCATCCTTCTATCCTCTAATTCTCACACGACCCATACTTCGTGATCTGTCCTCACGCACGAGCGACCCAGACGCCCAGCAATTTTCCCTCCAGCCCTTTTGCGGCCCAACTTGCACAATGCACAAGACCAAACCCACGACTTCAGCCCTCTCACGCCCACGACCATACCCATCTGCACCGCACATCGACCATCCTTTACTCGGGCCTCACGCATGCAACCCTATCTCTCCCTCTCATTCTCTCTGTATCGCACACAAGCCCACACCAAGCCACTCCGTCCGGCCGCTTGTGTCGTTACCCTCGCCTAACTAAACTCTCCACCTGCTGCTAGTCTAGCCACCACCGATTCGCTTGATTCAAGTGTCGACGCCCCCATTCGTCTCAGTCTCTCTCCCTCTAAAATTTAGGGAGAGAATACCTCTCTCCAATATTATTCTATTTGATATTTGCAAACTCATCGTCGTCATCGTCACTCTCCGTACATGAGGTATATCTTTTCTCTTTCTCATTTCAAATCACAAGTACGGAAGGCCTCGTGTCCGTTTTATATTTTTTGATTCGGCCAGGTGAAGAACATGAAGACCCTATGTCCTTTGTATCTTTAATCCGGCCAAGAAGAATGAACTATACTGAGACCCCACATCTATCACATCTTTGCTCCTCTCGGGAAGAATATAAGGCAAATGACTACCCAACTCCCCCAACTAGGGAAGAAATGTTGGGAGGCTATCAAAATTTTAATTGGAAAATAACCATCATAATAAAATTAAAACATATGTTTGAAAAAAAGGTTTCATATATATATATAGCAATAATGATAACATATTTTTAAAATTAGTAATTTGCCTATCACATATATTTGGATTCATTAGGACAACCTAATTGTAAGTAAGTGTGTAATAAACTACATGAAATTTTAGTTCGATGATCAAACTTGTTATTATCGTATTTATAATAATAGCTTATACCCATTACAAGTTTATAATTTATAATAGTATTACCCATATGCTAATCAAATAACGTAAGTTATGCAAATGACACATGGCTCATTATTATGTAGTTAGGTTTAATAATTTCAAACATTGTTTTAGTCAAAATAGTCAAATTAATAGAGTGTATGTATATACTTTACAGATTATTTCTTTGGCATTATCTAATCAAGATTCATTTGGTTAAGACCATAAAGCGTAATGAGATTCAAAAATTGAATTAAAATTTTATGTCTCTATCAGTTTAAAATAACTTAAGATATGAGACGTCAAATTACTTCATTAGAAAATTCATATATGACATAACAAATGTCATGAGACAAAAATCTTAAGCATCATAATTTAACTTCAAATATTTTGTAGAAATAAGAGAGAGAGAGAGAAAGAAATCGTCATAACCGTATTCTTCTAAATAAAGATGATGAAATGACAAGGATAAGAAAAACGTGCTAATGTACTGAATTGCCAAATATAAGTGTCTTTGAATCAAAATAAGTCTTATTACAATAGTTCAATTATCTAAACTATAACAATGGTAACTAAAATATTAACTCCCGACTGATTTTGACTCTAGCGCCACCAACAAAAAAATAAAAAAAAGTCAAATATTGCATAATATGCTGCTAGAAAATTGTCATTTAATTCTAAAACTAAAGAAAAATATGAAGTCACTAATGACATAAATATATCAGAAGCCATACAAAGTTATTTACCAAGCATCTATTTAATGAATCATGTTGAATATAAACAATGTTGACTTGTTTAAATAGAGTTAAAAGTCAGGTATAGGTCCAATTATGTTATATTCTGGTTGACTCAAGTGGTCCTGATTAGAAACTAGTATACAAAAGGTAGGGATATGAACTCCAACTTAATTAAAAATGGGCATTCCAATGGACATATAAGACCCAAATTTCCCTAAAAAAAAGGCCCCATATTTCCCCAATTTATCAAACTGGCATAAAAAAGCTATTAAGCTTATCAAATGATAATCTGTTGTGAAACAAAAAGGAATTGCAGGAATTTAATAAAATTGCTTTAGCTTTGCCATTTTTAAAATTAATGTTTCACAAGATTAAATTCTAGGATTTTTTAGTTGTTGTTTTGCTTTGGCATGCGGTTACAAAATAAATTAGAAGGACAACTAAAATAACATCAAATTATAATAAAGCTAGATGCGCAAATAACAAAAATCTACCGATTAACAATAAGTGCAATCACCTTGAGTTTCCCTCACTCACACTCTTGAGGGCTTTAGCTGTAGAATAATTTACGCAACAATAATGATGCTACCAAAATAGATAAGGTGCTTACAGTTTTAGTCAAGGAAGAGTTAGCCAGGAAATAGGAGGTTGGTGGATGATGGAGGATTTACCACTGGACGGGACGCCGATGTTCGTTGAGAGCGGTAGTCAATGAGAAGAAGATCCAGTTGACATAATTTTCGGCGGATTGGTCAATCTCCCAATTGATGTCGAAGAAGGGGAACGAAGAACATCCACTAGTCCTTCATTATCATAGACGAATTCATGATTTTGCTCGGGATCGGCCATTCATGGGTAAGGAGGCCGGCGAAAGTCGTGTCCTTTCTCTTAGATGATGATTCAAGTAAGGGAGGAGGGCTAGACCACCCGGGTGGTCGGCCAAGGCTAGGAGAGGGGGCCACTTTTAATCTTTTGATAGTTATGCATACGCTCCCCCCAACCCCAAAATCCAAAATCATTTTATTTTGATGACACCTTATCAAACACTAGTTTCTCAAACTTGAAGTTTTGGAAATCCATGACAATTCTAGTAAGTTCATAAACTTTATTCACCTTCACATGTTCAAAATCTATTTTTTATGCTAAGTTTGCATACAAAGATTTTTATTGTGATAAGTCAGATTATATTGATGATGAAGACAAATCATCAAGCCTCTTGCTTAGCCCGACCCTAAGGTTGTGCCTAAGATTACTCCTAAACCTAAATTTGAGAAGACGCCTGGGTCTATCAACAAACTAAGATTGAGATATCTTCTATTACTATAATTATTAGGATAACATGTTGATCCATAAATTATAGTATGCTTGCAAGATTCAAGTTACAATTGAAGGAAATACATAGAGCAAATTACGGACAAACTTGTTAATTGAAATTGGAAATAAGAGAAGGATTTCATTAAATCTATATGCAGATACACAAATAATGGATTAATTAAACTGAAAAAAAAAATAGAAAGCTAAAATATAAATATAATTACTTACACGAATAAGAAGCAATATACAGATTCATAAATAACGAATTAATGATAGTGATTAACATCTAATTTAGTTGATTAAGAATATTAAAATTATTATTAATGCCTTGATATTAAACTTTTTTTATATCAAATTTATACTGTAATATTCTCAAAAAAATATTAATATTAATAAATAAGATTTTAAAAGTATGTATTTGAAGTAATTAATATAATTAAGAAATAATAGATAAACACATGTTAATAAAATAAATTTGTGATTGATAATTAATCCTAAAGTGTTATTGATATTAAATTAAAAAATTTATATTATTAAAGAAATTATATTTAATCAAATATTAATTAAATAATATACAACCTGTCATTGAGCTTAATATCAAACTTCTAACAAGGTACTTATTGATCAACAAACAATCTAGTTCATGAACATAAATAAATGAGTTAAGATTGTGTTTATGCTTGATTCATTTAGCTTTTGACTTCGATAGTGTTCAAATTTGTTTGATTGCTAACTTATGCGAATTTGAATGAGTATTAATTGAGCTGAGTTCAAGTTATTCTTCGAGTGAATCGCTTTCACTTATAGCCGTACCTTGATCATTTTCTTTTTTTCTAAGTCCCTCAATTTTTCAAACTAAAGTAAAATTTCCTCTTCAGTTAACAACACTTGCCTAGTCCCATAAAGCTCCGTGTTACTTTAACCATTTGTTTCAATTCAGAGTTGTGTGTATATGATAGTATGCATTTACCACATATAACTGATATAAGCGAGAATGTAATAGGGTTCTTATTTAACTGCTGCTTATCCTCCAATATTTGAAAATTCTACTTCATTGACGGCACTTCATAATTTTCATTTTTACTTCTGTTTTTTCATTCTTGATTCTTCCCTTCAGTTGGCGATTCTTATCATAATTCTTAGGTTCATCTTCACTTTTTGTAGCACTCATCAATTGATCTTTTTTGTTAGAAGTTTCATTTAGTGTTGATGATTGCACACAATCTTTAATTGCAATGGCTGGCGCTGGCTGTAGGATCTTGATCTTACAAAACCTGGAATACCGAGAAGTTTTAAAAGAACAGAATTTGAAACCACCACCAAAGAAGTTCTGAAGAAGGCTGATTTCAGGGTAAGTTATAATTTTAATGCCTGTCTTGTGGCTTCATCGCTTGATACATTTTTAAGCATTTACATGATCTTCATCACCTATTTTTTGTCTTTTCGTACTCCTATCTGATTAAAATCCAGTTCGCATGAAATCTATTTGTGGATAAAAAGCACAATTTCTTTTGGAGTAATTTGTAGAAATTATTTGTGTTGTCATCTATTTTGATTTACTTATGCTGTAGATCTTTATTGCTTTTACCATTTATTGGGTTAAGCATGGAGTTGAGTTCAAGCAGCTTGCCACTAAAGCTTGCCACTAAAGATTCGTTTGGGACAGCTTTCTTATTGTTTCTTAAAGCAACTTTCTAATACAAAAATTAAATTTCTTGTGCTAGAAAGCTGCTTTAAGAAGCAGTTAGAAAGCTGTCCCTAACGAAGCCTAAATAAAAATGCATTCTGAGTAGAATTGGCTCGACTTTGAAAGTATTGATCCTTGATAAACTCAAATTCATTTTGAGTTGACCTGAACTAATCATATTCCTATGTGAGTGAGATTATAATTTAATCACTAAGTTTGCTTTTGAACTACAAATATGCATATAAATATGTTGAATCAGCTTGAATCACATTTTGCAAAACCATATTCACTCAGAAATCAACTAAACAAAAAGTTAAGGCTGAGATATTGGCATATAACTCAACTTGGAGTTCATGGATTCAAATCAAAACTATAGCAAATTTTGAGCAAATTTTGAATTTCAAGCAAAATTATCAACCTTATTCATGTAATCAAGTTCATGTGTTCCGTGATAGTTCTACAGGCATACATTCGGTGCTTTATGTTTCATTCTCATACTACAGCACAGTATCAAAGCTTCAGAAAAATCTCAAAATTTTCAAATTCTATCTACTGCATGATTCTCTGCTAACAATGAATACTTCTGCTATCAGAATGTGAGATTTCTTTCCAAATTTCTAACCGAAGCTGGAATTATCATCAAAAGAAGTCAGGTACGTAAATACTAATTAGGCCTTTTGCAGTACTTTTCTGTTACTACTTATGTTATATTCCCTTGCTATTCTCTCTACAGACCAAGATTAGTGCTAAAGCTCAGAGGAAAGTTGCAAGGGAGATCAAGACTGCGCGTGCCTTGGGGCTTATGCCTTTTACCACAATGGGCACAAAACCTTTCATCTTTGGGAAAACTATGGAAGATAAGGAGGAGGAATTTGAATACGACACATACAATGGTGCTACTTCCCCGGACTTGGATGATGCTGGAAGTTGATGTCACAATATTATCACTTCGAACATTTTCTGAAGGTGAATGGTTCTTCCTAGTCTGCTTCTAAACTTTGACTTCGTTTGGGACGGCTTTTTTTATTGCTTTTTAAAGCAGTTTTTTAGGGCAGAAATTTAAATTTTTGTACTAAAATAATGCTTTAGGAAGCAGGAAAAAAATAGTCCCAAACGAAGCCTTTATTGGAGATATTTTCTCTGCTGTTTTTGGTGGTAGAAAAGCAAGCCTACTTTTGGATTAATTATGCTGTGTGGATGTCGTCCGGAGACCAACCAAAATGCACCATGTTACCCTTGTGCTCGGTACCGTGATGTGGCGTATTCTGGTTGGTCTGCGGACGGATTTTTACGTTCGGTCTCCGCACAGAATAATTTCTCTTGCTTTTGGTGGCTTGTACTTTTTTGTTTTTCACTTTTAAAATTGAATTTTTAGGGGTCTATTTGAGAAAACTTTTTTATTATTTTGCTTTTCCGACTAATATCAGTATATCATAGTTCTTTTTTACTATTATTTTTAATGATAAATTGTTTCTTACAGTCAAATTTACTAGTATGTGATAATTTTAGTGAATTGTCTGATAATATTCTATAATTTAGTAGTGTTATTATTTATTTATAATATTCATATGGTATTTTTCAAAAAAAAAAAATCTTTCCTAACAATAGTTTAAATGGACCTTTTAACCATAGTTTCAATTATACAACTTTGCCGAGATAAATTTCTATAAAAAAAAGGTAAAAAAATTTGTGGCTGCTAAAGGATTTGTTTGGGACAGTTTTTGACCATTATTTTTTAAAAACTTTTTTCAAAAAAAAAAAAATAAATAAATAAATTATTTTAGAAAGCAATAAAAAAATTGTCCCATAAAAGCAAAAATATTTGAATTTGTATGTATGATTGGAAATTGTATATATGTTATTTCAATCATTCATACTAGGTAAGTACTGCAAGCATTACAATTCATTTAATTGACTGAGATTTATTATTAAATTGCTGTATTTATTATATTTCATCTGACTAACTTTATCTTCTTCTTCTTCTTTTTTACTCATATATATATAAGTTTCATATTTTGAAAACAAGAGAATGAAATAAGATCAATATACTCTATATTTAAATTTACTTGGAAATTTATCATTTTTTTAATTAATCAAACAAAATTAATATATATAATTGGTTTAGAGTTTTTTCATAAGCTTTTTTAAATAATTAAATTATTTTAAATTACATTTCATTGACAATGTGACACTCATGAAGTGGGATGGGAACTTATGTTTAAGTTATAGGGTCATAGCATTTTTTGAGATCTCTACTAAAACCTTCAAAGATTGAGGCCTCCATGAGAGCTTGCTATATGTCAAGGGGAGCTCCATAACTTTAATATTTACTTGCAAGAAAGAACTATTTAAAATTACTTAAGCATTTAAGTTAAATTTTTGGTTATTATATCTCAATTAATCCTTGCAAAAAATAGATCCTAAAGATTTCCCTAGTCATGTTATACATAAAAATAGATAGAGAAAATTAAGCTATTTAGGTTTCATTTGGATCGATTTTGTTATTTCTTATTAAAATAGTTTTTTATATAAAATTTAAAACTTTTGTACTAAAAATATGTTTTAAAAAGCAATAAGAAAGTCATCCCAAACGAAGCCTTGGACTCTCTCAATAATTTTTGACCGATATCATATATTAGTAAAGATGAGAAAATTAATCATATATCATCTTATTGATCGACTAATTTGGTTGTTCTAAACTCTGACTATTTCAATTGTGATAATTGAATACTCATTTTCAAAAACTAAAATTAGGAAGATTTATATATATATATATCATTTTATTTTATGTTATTTATATATCTAATATTCAAAATTTTAATATTATATTCTTATCACTCAAATCTTAAGGGATTGTTTGGTAGCAGGATTTAGGCCGGATTTGAGCGAAATCAAGCCAAACTAGCCAAACAGCCAAAAATGCAAAACATATCTCACGGCCAATAAAAGCCGACGTAGATGGAAAATTCCGCCTTTTTGTGCTAAATCTTGAATTTCTGAAATCCTATTTTTTGTCTGATTTACGAAATTCATTAACTTGAGAGGAAGAGTCCGCTAGTTAGATCTACTCTATAGCCAATCACATGAGAATTAATAGGATTTATCATGAATGTTATCAAATAGCTTTCAGGATTTAGGCCCCTCAAGAATTTTCAAAATTTAGATTTAGAGGATTTATGAAATTATACTTAAATTAAGATAAACGTATAACAAAGTTGAAAATATTATTTTCTTATCTGCTCATTAATAGATAAATTAAGAAGGATATTACAATTAATATTGAGATATAATTTATGGTTAATGATTTTGATGAAATGATTTCACATTGTAAGTTTTTATTATTTTTTAAAAAATATTAAATATTTTTTTATCTAATTATATTAATTTAGAAAATTGAACTCTTAATTTCTATTTATTTTGAAAGTTTTTTGATTCCATCATCCTTCTTCATTTAACTCTACTTGCAGCCAAACAGTCCCTAATCCCTACGCGACCTCATACGTCACCACGCTAAGAAGAATCCGATCCCCTTCTTCAAATCTACAAGCCCTAAATTCCCTTTTGCTGCCCTAGGTTTAGTGTTTACTGCTTTCCTCCTTTGTCCGCCATGCCGAAGAACAAAGGAAAAGGAGGTAAGAATCGCAAGAGGGGAAAGAACGAGGCCGACGACGAGAAACGCGAGCTTGTCTTCAAGGAGGACGGTCAGGAGTACGCCCAGGTTCTTCGCATGCTCGGCAACGGGAGGTGCGAGGCCATGTGCATCGACGGCACCAAGCGGCTGTGCCATATCCGGGGGAAGATGCACAAGAAAGTCTGGATCGCTGCCGGAGACATCGTTCTCGTCGGCCTGCGTGACTACCAGGACGACAAGGCCGACGTCATTCTTAAATACATGCCTGATGAGGCCCGTCTCCTGAAGGCCTACGGTGAGCTCCCTGAGAGCACTCGCCTCAACGAGGGGATCGCAGGCGGCCTCGATGAGGAGGACGAGGGCGCTGGGGACGACTACATCGAGTTTGAAGACGAGGACATTGATAAGATCTAGATGTGCTCTGCTCGCAATTTGAGAAATTTTCTCGTATCTTTTTATTTATTTAATAATCGCCTGTGGTTTCTCTTTGACCGTAATTAAAGTCTATATGATTTTCTTTTCTCTGGTAAGGGATGCATGAGGCCTTCTGATAATCAGGATTCTGAAATTTGGCGTGTTGGTCAAGTTATCGAAGCTGGGTACAGATGCCATACTTATGCTCTATGTTTTGCTGATGCTGTTTATGTTTAGTTTAATTGATCTTATGAACATTGTACTTTGGGTTTTATAATGTTCTGTTATACCGAACTAACAACTGTTCGATTGGCTATTCATAGTTCAATATGTTCATGCGGTGACGAGGATCTCTCTGTGTTAATTCGTTAGGCTGCTATGATATGAATGCGGGTCTGTTTTTTTCATTTGATCGTTTTATTTCTTCTATACTGTATGAATGCTTATGGTTGCGAGGTGAGAGAACTTTGTGCTTTGTTTTTAGAACTTAGAAAATTTCTGTAGTAATTTTTTTACTGAGATTGAAGTTTGTGTCACGAAAACTATTTTGAAGTCAGTATGATATCGTTTTGTATTTGTTTAGTGTTTATATGTTTATATGTCTCTTTTTTGTTCCCCCTTTTAGAATGTTCTCTTCTTGGGTGTGTTATAGAGACATTTTGACATCTTATTTGTTATTATGGGTGAACTTCTTTTTCTGAAATTAGGTTAGACCTAATTCAAATCATACAGAGCAGATAAAACTTAAAGAAGATCAACACATAAGATGCACAAAAAGTTATAATGAAATTCTTAAAAAAACTCATAATGAAACCTCCAAAATTTAGGCTTTACAACATAAATTTAGTGCATCTTGAAACTTTCATCTGATGACTGAGGCATATATACTTTTCTCACATGTTCCTTGTTCTCCGTGCAACATGTTAACATTTTTTTTTTTTTTTTTTGTGGATGAACTTGTTCTACATGAGCTTGTATATGATGACTGACATATATACTTTTCTTACATGTTCTTTGTTTTCCTTGCAGCATGGTATCTTCATTATCTTAACATCAAATTTTAACTGTTCCTCCCCCTCGAAGTGGAGAATTTGCTGCTATTTTTTCCCAATCCTTGACATGTTTGCTGAAATGTGTCTGGTGTGTTTGTCTTTAGTTACAGAGTGGCTGAATAAGTGGATATTCACACAATTAGTTAATTTAGGCTTTGTTTGGGAGGGCTTTCTCACTGCTTCTTAAAGCAACTTTCTAGTAAAAAATTAAAATTTTTATACTAAAAAACTGCGTTAAGATGCAATAAGAACACCATCCTAAATAGATATGATACTATGAAACTTGCTAGTTAGAGTGGCTTCTAGCATTGGATTTGCCTTTGAAATAAAAAATTGTCAGTATATTCTGATTAATGACCAGAATGAATGTGAAAGTTTTTGAATTTATTTGTAGATGACTATATGTATGTATTGTACTTATCTCAGATAGATTTAGGTTTTATTTGTGATAGTTTTGTACTTTTGTTATTGTTTTCTAAATAGTTCTTAGTATAAAAATTTATTAAATTAAAAATTTGTATACTAGAAAATTTTTTTAGAAAGCAATAAGAAAATGATCTCAAATGAAGTCTTGAAGATTGTAGAGTTCTTCCTAACTATTTTTTTTCATTAGAATATCCTGATAATTTTTTTTACTTTTTCTTTTGTCCCAAACATGTCATGACCATGGCACCGTGCCCATGGAGAGTTTAGCGTCCACAAAGGGATCGTTCGGAGGCGAATCAGAATGCGTCATGTCGCCCGGTACATAGCGGTGCACAGTTGCAATGCACAGCAAATGTGTGACATAGCGCATTTTGATTCGCCTCCGAATGGCATCCTTATCCACACACCCACACAGATCATCTTAGAGGTGAATTGGAGGATGACAGGTGAAATATGCTAACGAGCTGAACATATTTCAGTAGAAAGAAATCCTGCATCTATCTACTGCTTTCCTCTTCTAGCTTGCTATGCTAAATATGTTCTAAGCTTTCAGTTTTAACAGTCGGGAATGATTCTTTGATTGTCGCATTTGCATTCATAACTTGCACTGCAACAGTTCGATTATTAAAAGAGATTAACGGTCCTTTGCGGCAAATTTATTACTCTTAAATATTTGGACCGTTATATTTTTTACAATCAGATCTCATGCTGCACATATATATATATATATATATATATATATA